ACCCCTCAGCACTTGGATAAGATCTAGAATATAGATCTTATGAGTAAGAGAATCAACTGTCCCGCATTTTAGTACCAACTATAAACCACTAATAAATGATGACCAGATTCTGAAAACAGAGATAGTGAAATCAGTTTAGTAATCATTTTCTTAGTTAACAGCAATGTGATTGTTGTAAATTTATGCCTGGTTCTTTATATAGACAGAATGTATTTATTAGTTGAGCAAAAGTGCAAAACGTGAAACAGAAGAAATAATATAATATGAATGACAAGAATAAACATTTGATACAAAAATCTCATTTGCTACCTGGGAAATCCCATGATATTGAATGCAGTCACCACATGTACCTGAAGAAGGTAGAAATGCAACAGTTCTGCATCTCACAAACCACCTCACTGACTGGTAAGGCAAGAGGTACTTGTCTTAAAGACTGGGGAGGATTGGAATAAGAAACAACATAATTATTCACAGGTAGAGAATATGGAATGAGCAGGACTGGCTGAGGTTGACACCTACACTTACACGAGAAGACTTTGAGATCACTGATGCCTGAGAGGGCCAGGACCTCTGTTTAATCCTTATCTAAAAGATGTCCAGCAGAATGCATTTTCCCATGATATCATTCAGACATCTGGGGTTGATCCTTTCTCCAAGTTAAAAAAAAAAAAAAGACACTTGTGTAAATGCAACTTCAGTAGCACCTCGACAGTCCCTGAAAGTCATCCAACTGAGTGTCAGTTTAATGTGGTTAAGTCACCTTGTTAGAAATTCCTGGTGCGGGATGCTCTGAGTCATCTTTGTGATGGGGTGGATTTCTCCACAGGTGAGTGCTGGTGAGAAGGAAGGGAGCTGCTGTGGATGGGCAATGCGCTCATCACAGAAGGGGCAGTGTGGTCTAAGGACATGGCTTTGGAAGATAAACGCAATCTGGATTTATTCACACTCCTGAGTTACTTAACTTTTCTGAGACTTAGTTTCTTCATCATTAAAATGGACCATCATACCTTCCTCATATAGTGTTTGTAAAGATTAAATGAGACACGGCTGCTTTGAATACCTGATGATGATTGTTTATTAATCTTGTTTTACCCACTTCTCCCTTCCTACCCCTCATTATCATATAATTCCAAATTCCGTTTCTTCTCAGAACTTTTCCTATGAAAAATATGCATGATCACTGACACAATCTGCCCCCCACCCCAACACTGTGGGTTTTGAACCTCAGTAAGGAGAAGTTAAATAAATAAATTTCTTAATTTCTACACACTAATGTTCAGTTATCTAGAAGGTGTCTTACCATTAAATGTCAGTAAAAATAATATATATTTACATATACGAGCTTGTATATATTGGATTTTTAATGACAGCAAATTTGTCTGCCTCCCTTTTTAACTGCATTTTCCTAATGTCCAAAACATTAGCATAATTGCTTTTCTTCTGAGGAAATCTGCCCTACACGGGGCTGTAATATTTAAGTGTTTTACTATGGGACCATTTCCTTCAAAGTCCCTCCCTCTCTTTTCTATATGCTGCTCCACAGGATAATAATTCCCAGGGGTTATTCTTGCAGCTTACATGTTTATATGAATCTAATTGAACATGTTAGTCTTCTTCTAGAAAGGTATCACTACCTACAGTGATATTCTTCAGACAACACTGATAATATAAGTAGCATTTACATATAATTGACATCTGGAGATCTGGATACTTCCATTCCCCATTCCTCCCTTGGATGAGGCTATTGTAAGGCCACATCCAAAGAGATCACACAGGGCCTCACAGCCACTGAAAGGCCCTGGCTCTTCCTCCGAGGGAAATGGCAAGCCACCGGTGGCTTCCGAGTGGAGGAGAGACCGGATCAAACTTAGGTGTGGACGTAGACTCTGGTTGCTGTAGTTGAAGAGACTGTAATAGAACAAAGGCAGAACTGAAGAGAGCAGTTGAGAATCTATTGCAGAGATCCTGCAAGAGATGATGGGATTGGACTAGGAGGGTAGCAGGGAGGTGGGGACCTGTCTGGATTCCCATCATACTTTGAAAGTTGAGCCAAAAGTCTACCCTAATGGGCTAGATGTGGACAAGGTCGTCAAGGATAATCACAAGGTTTCTGGCCTGGATAGATGGACTTGCCATCAACTGAAACAGGGAAGGGTGTTAGAGCAGCTAGTTTAGGGTGGTAGACCAGGGGTTTAGTTTGAGACATGTTAAACTTGAGATGTCTATTAGACATCAAAATAGATATGACAAACATAATCAGACATGAAAGTCTGGACTTCAGGAGAAAGATGCGCCCTTAATATTCATAAGAGGCTTAGAGCAATCAGGCTCCTAGAATGAAAGTAAGCAGTGGTCATGATTAGTATAGTTCCTACTCCTTTGATCATGCCATTCAAATATCTGAAGTAACTGCAGTGGTCAAGTCCTATGTATTATATGCAGTTACTCTCTGAACTAGCAATTAAGTACCTCCAGAAAGTAATCCTTTTTACTTTGGGAAGTTTATCACCCACTTTGATAATAGAGTCTCCATTTTCAAGTATAATTTGAAGGTACTGTGGGGAGGTAATTAAACTTCAAAGTAAAAGTTAAAACACATGATGTGCACAGTCAATGCAATTTTGCAACATGTTCTTTGAGTACAGAATACTCAGCCATAGGCAAATTCATATAGCAAGTGTGATAGTTAAGAGTGTAGATTCCAGCCTTGAAGTGAATTTATACTTTAGCATATCACCTTGAATATTTAATATCTCAAGTCCCAGTCTTCTCATCTGTAAAATTGGGACCTGATAGGATTGTAGGGAATATTGAATGAAATAATACATATAAAGCACTTTGCACAATGCTAGACACAGTAAGTTCTTCTAACTCCTAGCTATGATGATGATGATAACTTTATTTCAGTTTTCAGTTGGACCTAAGACTAAAGATTTTTCTATGACTTGTTATTTACTATGAACTTTTCATTGAATATATTTCTCAATATACCACTTAAATTTTAGAAAACTTACTCTCAAGGCATTATGCCAATAGAAGGAAAAAGATATGAGGAATAAGAATCAGAGTCCGATCCAACCTGTTATTGGTACTTCCATTCTCCTTCTTGACTCCAGATGACCTCTCCCCCCACCCCCCCTTCCCCATGTTGGTAATTATGAACTGAATAAACTGACTAAAAAGGAACAATACTAAACTTACCTACTCCCCTTATGTTGTTTTAATTGTGTATAATTTGTTTTTAGGCATGGTTCTTTGGGGAGGAAACCAGAATATGTTTACTCCACCAAAACATGTATTCTTTTAACCCGGTAATTTTGAAAGCAAAAGATGGTCTCCATGGTAAGAAGATGGAAAAGGAGTGGTATTAATAGAAAATAGCACAGATCTAATGCACATTTTAAAGTATGAAAGGAGGATATGTTAGCTCCCCTGCCTAAAACAACACTGTGGACTCTAAGTTACACTAAACAGGTGAATAAGATAAAGAGGACGCAGCTCCAATGTTATTGCTTAGAGTGAAAGTCAATAGTGAACCCCTGGAAAGCATCTCAGCATCTCCTCGCAGCAGAAACCTCCTGCTCTCGTGACACACTGAGGCTTGCTTAATTGGTCCTCCTATACTTTAGAAGGAAGAAAGGCTTCGAAAATACTTCTGACCTTTTAGAAGATTTATAGGCATATAATAGTGCTTTAATCCTTGCATACTGGAGTTGCCAAAGTAATAGTGTATATTAGAGTAGATCAAAGCCTAATGATACAATGATGGTCTGACATTCCAACTCTTCTCCAAGCCAGTCTTGGATCCCAAGCAATCATCCTATTTCTAGGTCTGTAATTACCTTTACACAGTATTTAATGTGTATTTGTATTTTCCCTGTCATTTTTCCCCTGTATTCATTGTCTTTTGGTAAAAAGCATGTTCTTCCTTTCTCTCGTTCTCCCTTTCTTTCTCTCTTTCTCTTCTTTCACTCTCTTTCTTTTCTCTGTGTTTGAATTTCTACCACAGTATTTTTGGGTCTAACTTAATGCATCCCTTTTTACTTGTTATAATGTGAATTTCTTGAGATCATCTATTCTTGCTCCAGACTCCACTCCTCTGCACTGTTTACATTTTTCTCCTTCCCCACTCATTTGCATAGTCTTGCAACATAAAGCAGCAATATTCTTACTAAGATATGTATTGAATGAGAAGATATTCACAAAAATATGCATAAAATTATAAGTTGTGTTTAAAAGATAAGCACACCAAAACATAAATGTATACAGCATTGCCCCCTTTTTAAAAATTTGCAGTGATATTCACGTAATTTTCTTTAATCTGTACCTGAGGATATGTTTTTATTGACTTTAGAGAGAGAGGAATGTGGAGGAGAGAGAGAAACATCCGTGTGAGAGGGAAACATGGATCAGTTGCCTCCTTTTTGTGCCCTGACCAGGGATCAAACCCACAACTTCTCGATGTACAGAACAATGCTCCAACCAACAGAGACACCCAGTGAGAGCCACATAAGCTTTGAGATTAATTTTAGAACCATGTCATGATCTTCATAAGAAACTGATCCTATTATTTTACCTTAGCTTCGAGTTTTACCAAGGTTCGATTTACTCACCTAGCTTACGGCGCCTGAGGCCAGGTTTCCTTCGATGGTTTCCGCAGTCCGCAGCTCTCCCACTGAGGACTTGCAAACATACACGGACCTTATTCTGAAGGCAATTCTGTAGGAGAATTACAGAACTGTGTTTGAGTATTGGCAATGGAATTAAAATGTCCATAGTTTCAAAGTACTTTAAAAGGGAAAAGTCCCTTTTAGATGGGTAAATTCTCTTATTTCTGGTAACAAAGTGAACTTACTGTTTTATAGTCACATCATAAGAGCCAATTCAAAAGCTCTGTTACTTTACTTAAACTATGTTCCAGTACATAATATGCTTAAAACTTTTACTCTATGTAGAAAATAGGCTCTTGATAATAAAATATATGTCTTATTTTTTTCTAGGACTATACTTGATAAGAAGGAACTACTAGAGTTTGCTCAAGTTGGCTGTTACTTGGAATATGATCTCTTTGGTAATGAACTCCTTCATTACCAATTCAACCCAGATATTGACATGCCTGATGATAATAAAAGAATTAGAAGGTAAATATGATCAAATCTCTTAGAGTGTTCCCTGTTACCAGCCCTTTCGATTTTCATACCTGGGTAGGTATTAGCAAAGATTCAGAAGACAGGAAACAGGAGAAACCAGAGAATTGCAAAGAAAAATATATCAGTGCTGTTTCAGAAAGAAAATCTCTATATATTATTGCAAGAAGAGAATGAGTCATCCTAAGTAGGCAGAAGCTTAGCAGAGCCTTAGCAGTTCAGTGCAGATGGGCAGCTGACAAGAAACATAAATAACACTCTGCCCATCATGACAATAAGAGAACAAACCATGTTTTCCTTTTTTTATCTCTCATGAAGTAAGATGTTTCTTTCCCAGGTTGAATGCACTCAAGTAATAATTCCATACAATATATTTTTAAGTGCTTTATTAAAAGTATTCACTAAAATGTTGACTACAAATTAAATGCTGCAAGTATAATGTCTAAAGACCAAACATCACATAAACTCTAACTTTTCAAAATTGTCTAATATGCGGTGATAGCAAATAACTGTGTGAGTCATTCTATGCCACCAAGTGGAAAATTCTGGAGTCAAGGATGAGGGGCTACCTGGTTTATCTTGGTTACATGGTGATATGAATGCTGAATGCAGCAAGTAAGGAACCTGGGAAAAGAAACAGATTGGAGATTGAAAAGGATGGCTTTTGCTTGGGAATATCTAAGAGTTGCTGTCCAGTGGGGTCCTTGGATAAAAGTGTGGAGCTCAGGCTAGAAGTTTGAACTGAGACATAAATAGAGACACTATTGGTTTTTATATGATAGTTGGAGACCAGTAAGACACTCAGAGAAGAGCATGAGGACAGAGCCTCAGGCAACACACTCATTTAAGGGACAGACTCAGGAGCAGTCACTCAAGGACAAGTTGAGAAGCCTTCAAAGTGACAAGAATATCAGGAAAACACATCATTTTGGAAGCTGATGGAGAAGAATGCTGAAAGCAGAAGGGCTTGCACACGAGTAATAGGCAGCAGATACCAATTGAAGTAAAGGCTGAAAAGTATCCATTGGATTTTAGTCAGAAGGTTCTCATTTCACAATGAGTAAGTACAGTCTTGTAGAAAAGGCTTGAGGAATGAGAAGGGGGTGAGTAAGAGAGAGGATGTGGAGGTTATTCTTTCAAGAAGTTCAGTAGTGAATGGAAGCAGGGCTGTAGGGCTAAAGCTAGAAGACAAGGCAAAATCGAGGGAAGGTTTATTTTATTCTATGCTTTTAATTTACTGGCCGAAGAGCATCATTCAGGACTCAAGAACAGGTGTCTCTAGGGCCCTACTAGCTTGTGCCATAGTCAGAGGTGACTATTGTCTGGAATTTTAAATGGAGTGGTATGGTAGGTCTTTGCCATCTTTCATGATCTGAAAACCATGATTCTTGATGAATATTGTCAACCCATATTTTACAATTCATCTTGGAAATAGGAAGTTAGGTCCTGGGACCTGCCTCCCTTGTGGCAGTGAGGTGTATCTTTTGCACCCCTGTGTCTTCCTTGAGTTTCCTAGACCTTCAGGACTAAAAGACAGGAGATTTGCAGAGGGACTCTCTGAAGGAGACAGGGGAAAGGATGATGGCCAACTCTCCCAGTACGCCTTCTTAGCTCCCAAATTTCATCTATTAAATCAAGAACAAGAACTTAATTTGGTCAGCTTTCATTGTGCTAATGTAAACACTCTAGATGTATGAACATACACACAAAATTATGTGTGTGTACGTTTATGCATCTCTATGTATATGTGTATGTATGTACACTTATCTTCCTTAAATTAAAACCATACACGAGGTCACTGACTTGAGCACAGCCCACGGTCATTACTGAATGAAATTTGGACTGTGTCAGCCCCAGTACCCTTGCCCCCACCTCCTGGGCTCTTGACTTTCATCATTCATTTGCAGGCCTTTTCTGAGGCTCAGTAGTCAAAAGCTCTGAAATGCAAGACAGAGAAGCACGCTTCTGCCTACCTCTGGCTTTCAGCACCAGAAATTCTGTGCCTAACACCTGTTTCCAATCTTGTGCTCCATTTCTCAAATCTTATTATATCTCTGCCTTTTCACACGTTGTAGTCTCTCTCTAATATTTGTTTGCAAAACACTAACTCATTTGTATTTCCATAATTACTGTGATTTTTTGTCTTCTCATGTGTAGTGGTTCATTCCTTCTGGCAGCATCTCTGGAACTACCATTCTTCTGTACCATGCACAGTGTGAGAGATGATCTCATCTCATGCGGTGGCCAGGCAGTTTTCTTCATGGGATGCGATTGTGTTTCTAGTGCCATAATGTTATCTTTCTCATGAGATAAACAGTCTCCAGAATCTTGACTTAATGAGTTCTAAGGGTTCCCATTTTCAAATGTGTCTCTTATCCATTATATTCTTACCTTACTACTTCACAATTCAGTAAGTCTGTGTTTCAAGGTATCACACAAGGCCTCTTACAGGAATTTGTTTATCTGTACAATATGCCTCTGTAATAATGAGATACCACCTTTTTTCTTAAAGAAAAGGAACAAAAATGTGGGGAAATGCTCAGAAAATATAAGGGAGGAAGTGTACCCTAAAAAATTTCTTGTGACATGATGCTCCCTTTAGTTGTGGATCAAAGTTCGTCGCACTGTGTTTCAAGGTTGTGTATCGTTTCTGTCAAATCTTTCTCTTTTTCATAAATAATCAAGGCTCTCTTAGATATTCCTTTAAAGAGAGTTTTTGCCAAAAGTAACTTGAGAACTTTTGGACATTACACAGATTTTAAAAAGGCAAAGAACTGTGGTGGCACAATGGGTGTTCCGTGTACTTGTGGGACATTCGTGATGGGGACGGGTGACTTGGATGCAGGGCTCGAAACAAAATGTGCAGATGGGCTCCCTGTGACCTGCAAACACAAGATCTAATCTTCAATGGTAATTTAGTGATTGATTTTATTTTTATTTTTATTGATTTTTAGAGAGAGTAAGAGGGAGTTGTTGTTTCATTTATTTGTGTAGTCATTGGTTAGTTCTTACATGTGCCCTGACTGGGGATGGAAGCTGCAACCTTGGCATATTGGGGCAATACTTTAACCAACTGAGCTACTTGGCCTTGGCTAATTTATTTAAAAATGTATGTTTTCAGAGGACAGGGCTTTGAACTTGAGTTTTCCATGTAGTGCCCCACATTTTGCTTACCATAATAGTAATTATTTAATACGACTCATGCATTAAAACAGTGATTTTCGACCTCTTTCACCTCATGGCACACATAAAATAATTACTAAAATTCTGCAGCACACCAAATAAATGTATTGTATTTTTGGCTGATCTGACAAAAAATGGATATAATTTTCATTTATTCACACCAGATTGCTACTGTTGTGTTGGCCACTGTCATTTTTTTACTTGACAATCTAAGGCAGAGGTCCCTGACCCCCGGGCCACAGACCTGTATTGGTCAGTGAGTGATAGATGAGCAAGTGAAGCTTCATCCTGCTCCCCACTGCTCACATTATCTGCTGAGCTCCATGCCCATAAAACCGGCTGGGGACCACTGATCTAGGGGAAAAGAGGTCAGTGACTGAGTGAACAGTCGGGTTTTAAAAATTCTTGCTTCAGTGTGCCGCGGCACAACAGTTGAAAATCACTGCACTAGAATGCCAAGAAATGTTATTGAAACAAAAAGAAAACCTCGATCCATTTGGGAATCTAGAGACTGATGAGACTATATAGCGAATGCCAGAAAAGAGCCACTATCTCCAAGTTGCATTTCCTGTCATCTGAGACCTATGAAAGTCACTTCAGACACTGCCCAGAGTCCAAACACACACAGATGGTGGCTGTCAGGAGGTGACTCACACTGCAGATGACAGCATTTAACAAAGCAAAGAGGATTAGATATTTAGACAATAGCCAGGAAGCCCTTCTTTAGTGGACTAACTATAAATTTAAAGAAACAGCTGATTATCTAGAGCAATCTTGAGGAAAGGGAAGGAAAGTAGAGTAAATCTTTATTGGTCAACTTCACCCAGTGCTCCAAGACTAAGTCAAAACTCCCATGGACTTCGAGGGACAAATGCTCATAAGACAAACATACCATTGCTGACCTTCTCAAAATGACTCTCTAGCTGTATCATATGCCCTTCACTGCCAAACCAACCAAACTGCCATCTCTTGTCAGGAGCTATCTTTAATGTAGTATCGTCAGGCATTGTCATAAACACCACAGGCTAGAAATTCTGGTGTTCATAGAATAAGGATCCTGTTCCTACTAAAATGCAGCAGTATCTTTATCATCACCACACAGTATTTATTAAGGGTCTCCCGGTACACATGCCATGGTGGAAGGCGGGATCTCTACAACAAACATAACAGATTGTAAAGAAAAAGTTTAAAACACCCTGAAAATGTGCTTTAAATGTGAGGCAGATGCCATATAATGAGTTAACGTTTTTTCACAGGGTGCGTCTTCTGGTGGATGAAGGCTATGGAGATCGAATTCTGATGGCACATGACATACACACAAAGCATCGGCTGATGAAATACGGAGGTCACGGCTATTCTCACATACTCACCAACATTGTTCCTAAAATGTTGCTTAGAGGTATAGCTGAGAATGCACTTGATAAGATACTGATAGACAACCCTCAGCGATGGCTAACTTTCAAATAGGATGGTTATAAATTCACACCTTGACAACAGAGCTTACAGAGAACATTCAGTGATTTTAGACGTGCTGCGAGATATTAATTAATCAGAGATACAAAAGAGTAGTGATGGATCATTTCCCTTTTATGAGAATTAGAAGCATTCTGCCTTCTCAGAGACCAGCCCTCATCTCTGCACCTTGGGGAGCCAGGGTGCCTCATGGAGCCCTACTGCCTGGCTTTAGCAAAATAACACCAAACTACCAACTTTCGAACAATGACTTATAGTTTGAAATCCTTCAGTGAAGTTAAGTTTTGTTTTCTTAATTTATCAGCTGCTCTACTTGAGAATTTAAAATGTTTTTAGTTAAATCAGCCCCTTCTGGAGCAGTCCAATGTTTCTCATAATATTGATGATCCAACTAATTATCCTGCTGTTCTTTAATTAATGCTTAATGAATGATATGGCACTTTAAAATAGCTTCTTCAGCAAGGGAAGTGGAATTCTGAGATTTTTTTCAATAGATACTGTAAGACAATTACCAATTTACAATGGTAAAAATAGTGTGGAAGGTTAATTATGTGATGTCCATCTATCTATATATGCATATAATAAATCAATTTGTGTTGCATGTGGCTTTCTGAAATACAGTTTTACTATATATTTTGTTACATTTTGAAAAATTTCGATAAGGAGGCATGAACTCATAACATAATACTGAATTATAAAAATTCAATCATAAAAGTCAGAATATATTACATAATATAGTTTAATGAATCATTACATTTATAATAACAAAGGCCACAATTTAAGTAATTAATAATGTATAATGCAAAAAAAGTTTGCCATATATATATATATGTATTCCCTTTATTTCCTTTACCTTTTCTTTGTGTTCCTTGGGCTTAAATAGAGAAAATAATGCTTATTTATCTGAAGAAAAGGTCGGGTCCACTAGAAATGACAGTCTGATTCTACAGCCTACTCTCTAAAAGGTTCCCAGCCCTGATGAATTATGTAAATAAAGCCTTTTTAAAAACTCTTAGTTAAAACTCTTAGCTGATGTGCAGTGTTTATAAATTAATCTTTTGGTTGAATCCTCAGTATGCTATCTGTTACCTAAAAAAAAAGAAGAAAAAAAAGAATTCTCCAAACCCTGTTGCCAATTCCTCTTTAACGGTATATATGGTTAAACTGAAATAAAATCCACTGCAACTCTTTTATAAGTTATCTTATATATTAGGAAGGCCAGATAGAATTAGTCATTATTCTTAAAGAATGGGGCTATGTGCTTTAAATCATGTAACCATGACAGTTACCCAGACTAAGGCATTTAAACCGAGCACACAGCACCTGCGGATGGGAACACCATGCATAACTCTTTGGGAAAGGTGAGGTTTGCTAAATAAAAGATGTTTCTGTGGATCAAAGATGATCAAGTTTTCTGTGTTAGAACATAAAGTACCCAAGAGGAAAGAGCCAGAAGAACAAATTAATTCCTTTAAATGAAAAAAATGCAAATGTCCTTTACCAGAAAAACAAGTAGGCTTTTAAATCTGTTTTTGAGTCTACTTGTTAAAGAGTCTTCAAAGGCAGCTGAGAGGGGAACAGATTTTTCATTGTAACAGTGGAAGTTGTCTGATAGTCAGGATCTATCAACATGCATTGTTGATCTTTTTCTTAGTTTTAAGGAGATGGCTTTTGGCAGTGTGTTTTAAATAGAAAGGATTTGCACCACTTTCAAAATCTACTTTACTGTCAGCTTCAATCCACCTGAGGAAAAAAAAAAAAGAAAAACTGATAATTCGAATGCGTATAATTCATAAGCACTACAAAAGAGAGCCACTTTGTTCCAGCAATCCTAATGGTAACAGTCTGCCACAGAACACAGGGAAAAGGATTGATTGGCAGGGGACAGCAGAGCAGCCATAGGCTTAGTTTACAGACATGTGATGCGTAGGACCTCATACGATTCAATATTCTGGATAAACTCTTAAAAGAGAAGTCATTTAAATTATTTTGCTATTCCATATATTTTTGTCATCCAAAATATATTTCCATCCAAATTAAGTCAGATAATTTTTATGTTTGTGTGTGTATGCATACACATATATATTTTTAATTAAAAATTTGGGGCTATACCAGCCATTGTGCCTATGGTCTGAAGCCATATATATATCTGTTCATCTATATATGTGTATACCATATATATGTCTGGTATATGTGTATACACACATGTGGCAAGTATTTCTATAAAATATATACACTCTGTTGCCATACTGGTTATATGTGAAATTGCTCATTTTGAAATAACCTCAGGCCATGACTTACAGTAACTCTTTGAAGGCCCTCCTTAGCGTCCCCTCGGTGATGCATGCAGTAGCTCAAATTAAAGTTTTGTGTATTGGGTTATGAATAATCTTTTGTTCCAAAGAAGGCAAAAAACCTCAGTCTGATTTAACACCAAAGAATACATTTCTCTGACTTTCCTAGTAAATCTAAACACAATTCTATTGACAAAATGGACACTTAGGGGATTTTCTAATACCATACATATTACACATTTTCACACTTATAGGGTCAACCTATGATACAATTTCAATCTCTATTTTTAAAGACTATCACCAGAAAATGGAAAAGAAAATTCATAAGAAAACGAAAATGGGAAAATGACCATAGGCTTGGGAATTTGCTCAAATCCAGAAAATTCCAGGTTAAGGCTTGAAGTTGAATCATTCCCAGGTCTATCTCTAAAGTTCACAAGAGTACAAGGCAAACAATTTCTTTGGGGACAAGCAGCATTGTTTCAATTAGACCTTCTCCTGCAGGGTAAAATCATTCCTCCCCACACTGGGAATGGGCTCCGAGAATCATAATAAGCAGGTACACTCACAAGAACCAAAGCTGACATGGGTAAGAGCAGCAGGATCACGGTACACCAAAGTATCATATATATTGAAGAAATAATTCGTGTCTTAGATTTCTCTATAAAAATTTGTTATCTATATAGGACTTCATTCACACGGACACTAACAATAAGGAGTATTTGCTTTGGCGGTAGTGGATCACACATCTGCTTATCTTGCTTTTAATATTTTTTTTTTTACATAGTGTTTCTGAGAATACAGATGTGAGTCAGGTAGCATTTGAATCCCCCACTTAAATACATCTGAGGGGCCCCACAACTGGCATTGCCCTGGGATCCGTGATTCACTGATGTCAGCCGTACGAATCCAGCGTCCGAACTCAGAACAGTAAGCTCAGTTTCTACACGATCAGTCAGCGTAAATGATAAATCCAGAAAATGTGCTGTATTTGTTGTTGTTCCCTCCATGGGCTTTCCCGCCATCTAATTTGATGTAGACTTCGTCTCCGGGCTCCAAATGAAGGACCACACTGTTACTGGCATAGTCGTAATTCTGATCGGCATCCTGGGCGATGGCACTAGCACGCACCTGTGTGAAACAAACAAGGGTTAGAGTTTGTCAGAGAGGATCTTCAGGTTTTCTTTTAGGCCATTGGCAAGCGATATGCTGCCATAACACAGAATTGACACAGAAATGTCCACCTTGGCCTTTGGAGCTTTATGAGATATTTTAGGCATCGTTTCAGCCATGTTACTGGAAAGAGAGGAATGAAAAGGAGAAAACTGTTTTTGTGAGTCATCCTAGCAGTCTTTCCTTACTACGTTTGATAAAAAGTACAAGCCAATTTATTCTCTTCCTAAATCACTACTTTTTCTAAAACTTAGAACCTCTGTGTCCAATCACTTTTTGAAGTGGGAAGAATACAGTAACATCTTGCATTTTAATTTATCCAAATAACCATATTGTAACCAGCTGTTGAGGAGCACAGAAATCCAGTCCAAACTTCAGCTGGTCCTCACAGTTATTAAAACATTGGTGAGGTACCCAGTAGGTAACAGCTCAGAGAAATACCACTACTCTAACTCTACTATATAGGAAGAAAAAAGGGGGAAATCCATTTGATGTGGGGCTTTCAAAATTTAATTCAAGCAAAGCCCCCTTTACCAGAAGTTTAATTCACTTAAACATTTGTGACTATATCACCCAACCTTTCAGGGTTTTTTTTTTTTTCTATTTGTACCTTTTTATCACTTAATTCTGATGTCTGCAAATAAATAAATTTCAACACCTAAAATAATAGAAGGAACTAAATTTCCATGATTTGAAGTCAAATTGCTAGGATTTTTGAATGATCTCATTAAATGTGTGGTTTGCTTTTAAGATGGAGCTTGCTTATAAATCTACTCTGTGATCTCATTAGTGAGCTGACAGACATTTGCAAACAGTCAAACTGCCTATCATATCAAGTAACATGGACATTCTGTCATATCCTAAACTCAAATTGGGCTTCATGTCCACTTCGCTAGATTTTGATACTGCCTTGGGAAAAAAAATTTCAATAAACAGTCTTGTGTTTTATTTATTTCAGTAAAACATCTACTTTGTGGCTTGTTTCTATTCCAGTATAATGATATTTCCCTGGAAAACACAGCAAGTGATTTAGTGGTTTTGTAAACCCGCACTATGGGATAATGCATGACTCGGGGTACAATATACAAGATTTCATCACTTGGTAAAATGAGGGAAATGAGACATAAGTCAAGAATTTCCATGCATGTCTTTCAAAATGTAAATGATAGGTTTTCAAATTAAATTTTTATGTGATATGTTCTCACATTAATGCTGAAATGTTAAAAAAAAAAGAAGGCTCTTTGACACTGCTGAACTTGTAAAATAATTTAAGTAGTATTTTAAAATTTTCTTTTGGAATATCATATAGCAAAAGGAGAAAAGGGCTCACAGGGTTTTGAATTCGTTAACACCTTGCTAACTGGCACTGGTGCCATAACAGCAACACACCACGCGGTTATGCGCTGAAGCCCTGGCTGAAATGTACACCCCAGTTTAGTCAGTGGTCCGCGTTGACCACTAAGTGATAATACAGCTGAATGTCATGATATTTCCTAGGAATTAATCATAAGTTTGTAGGAGTTGAGTGCTTTGATTTATTGATTTCATCTAGTCATTAATTCCCAGGGAAAACAATCTACTATGAGGATAGCACTATTATGACCTGATCTCTCGTATGTGTGGATTTTTAATGTGGGAGGAAAAGTAAAACACAAAATAGCAATTAGCCATATTAGTAATATATTCATAATTATCCATCCATAGCATACTTCTCAGCTGTTGATAACCCGACACATTTTATCTACTGCTTAGGCATTTACTGCGTGTGCTGTGGGCACCGTGCCTTAATACTTTTCTGTATCAATGCATTTGGGAACCAGGACTCAGTAAAATCACTTGATTCAGAGGCACTAATCTTAAAAATACTATAATGCATTTTTTATTTATAGGGTAGAATCACAAACCCATGTAATTATTACCAGTTTTATTCAGTAGGGATAACCACAAAAAAGTATGATCTCCTAGACTGAAGTTACCCTATGGTTTCACTTCCTTTGTGAAAAAAAGCCAGTGTGATTGCTTTTTAATGACAGTGATCCTCTAAGATTCTAACCTGTACTGTACCATGAGACTTTCCCAATTAAATAACTGCCACGTTCAAGGGTACTCTGCATGATCTGATCATACTCTAAAGGTATAATGGCACTCAAAACTTCAAGCTCTCGTCTCTAGCTCAGTGACTTCCAACAATTCCCCCTTTAAGCCATCAAACTATTGAGGAAGGTAATGCATCCACCCTGGAGGCTATTTTCTGCTTCCTAAATGTACACTGATTTCAGCATTTTCCCTGGGAACGGGATGCATCCTTTCTTTGGC